GGGTCAAGGGTAAGGGTGAAAAAAATGAAATTTTGAAATTGAAATATTTTTTGAAAACAAACTTAAAATTATTTTTTTTTGGAGGGGGGTGGTTGGGGGTAGGTTTGAAGTTGGAAGAGAATTTTGGAAAATGTTTTCCATAAGTTTTGAAGGGAAGTTATTTTCCTTAAATTTGAGGAAAATGAGTTGATTTGGAAAACATTTTCCAAAACATTTAGCCCAACCAAACATGAGAAAATTGGAAAACATTTTCCGGAAAATGTTTTCCTTCATACCAAACACACCCCAAATAGGGCATACAATATGAAGTGGGACTTCCAATTTAATTGAATGTCCTCATCTTTTAAAGTTTTCAAATAGGGTCTCCCTATTGTCTGTTATACACAAAGTATCATTGATGGTTTAAAATTTTCTCTCTTATTATCTGATAGATTTTGCTTTATTAAAACTTTGGCATGACACCAATTTATTTTAAAACCTGATCCAAAAACAGAGCAAGAAGAGAGTAAAATTCCAGAAAAAAGCAGGGGAAAGGGAAGGCACGCACCTTCAGAAGGATTAGTAGTTGTGTTTGTTTGAGCTACGGCTATCTCCAGCAGTAGACCAAACATGATGGCCAAGCTCAGGCCAAATAGTCCGCTTGCCTTCATGTTTAATTTCTTTTTCCAAATATACAGCTTACTAGCTAGTTCATCATGCACTGCTTAGTGCTTGGTTATGTTAATGTCATATTACATTTGGCAAAATATGCAATGATTGAGCCTTTGAAATTTCGCCGGACGTTGTCTTTTGTCAAATATGGCCATTAATACGGAATAATGAAACATAACTACTCTTTCTCCTACTTAATTAGAGGAGGACCCATGCGACTTTAACTATTAAGGTCTTTTTGTCGTTATCTAACGATACGATATAATAAAATTTAAGTAACAATCAAAACAAAAATTATATTTAAACTAACAATATAATACGATACAATACAACGACTAACAACATTAATCTTCTGCACAACAATTGACCAAAAAGACTTTGATTGAAGTAGGAGTCTAGGAGATGCAACCGGAATTCAATGGAGTACGTTTTTACACGTATTATAAATTTATATACTATCAATATTCACTAAAATTACAACAGGATCTAAGCTCATGGTAATAGAATTAATATTTAGAACCCTTAGGACCTGTTTGGAAGGACACCCTGGTAATTGAATTTGGTGTACTTACATTGTTTGTCATGTTTGGTTAGACAGGGTAATTACTTGGTCAGCAGGTAATTGGTGTAATTGGCAAGGGGTAATTACACTATTCGATTCACAGGCAGTAATTTCTCTTTTTTTAATTCTATTTTTATTTTTTTGTTTTTAAATTTTTTTCACTTATATTATTTTAAGTTCTATTTTTATTTTTATTATTCTAAAAATTTCTAGAAGTTTTTATATTTTATATTATTATATTTCATTTTCTTCTCGTTTTCAACCTTACTTCATGTGATTCTATGCAATTTTTTCAAATTATCTATTTCTTTATGTCATGCTTATTTTCTCATTAGCATAATTTTATTAATATTCTAATTTTTAAATTAAAATAGAATTTATTGTTAAGTAAGATTATAGACTTACGTTTTTTTTTTAAAAAAAATAAAAAAAAATCATATTTATGTATGATATGTTGAAATTTGCTATAAGAGTATTATGTTAAATTTTTTGTTTTGAATTTATAACTTATGTTATATTTTTCAGTTTCATTTGTTTTAGTAATATGGAATTCACATTGCAAGTCATTTTTTAATTAGACTTGATAGATTATCTTTTTGTTGAATATTTAATAATTTATGACATATTATTTATATATTAATCTTTTTATCAAACATGCATTTCACGATGTTCGTAGAAACTTCATACTTTTAGTTTTTATGATCAATTCAATTGAAATATATTAATTTTAAAAATATAAATCAATAATTTTTTCATAATATTAGTTAAAAACATATGTTTATTAAGTAATATATTTTCAAAAAAGAATATATCTCTTAAATATTTAATTTAATATTATTTATAAAGTTTCTTATTTGTCTAGTATAAATTTTAAATAATTAATTTTTATTTTTAAAATTTAATATAATTTTATGATTGCAATTGTGCATCCAAACACAACATTTGTAATTACATTGTGGCATCCAAACAAGACATACAGTGTAATTACACTGTGGCAACCTAACAGGTCAGCGTAATTACTAGACTGTGTAATTACTAGGCTGGTAATTACTACCCTAGTAATTACACCAATTCCAATTACCAAGTGGCTTTCCAAACAGAACCTTAAGGATTGAACGCTTATAATTTAACAATCTATTTGGTCTCAAAAATTGCTTATTTTGAGAGGAGAAAATTCCTTTGTAGTATTAGACTTAGCTCATTTGAGAAGTTATCTTTCGTCAATAATTGATATGTAGCATTGGTTTGACCAATCTTTTCAGAAAACATGTTCTTAAAGGATCAGAATACGAAAGCGCCAAGTATCGTGACACGTATTACTATTAGGACTATTTATGCAGATATTATTATAAATAACTAACTACTATATATATGAAATCCTGCCTCTGAAATTATGTGAAGAAAATATTAGTAACTCGTATTTTTTCTAGTAATAGTTTGTCATTCCTGGGAGAAGAAATAAAAGAAAGGGACAAGAGAAAATAAGTGTATTTATAGTTGACAGATTATTTCATAACGATGACCATTTTGTGCGGTTTAAGAATTAAATTGCATCAAAATGGGATGTATCTTCTCTTTTATGCTCTACAACTGAATTGCCTCAAGCTTTTAGCTTCTGAAATCGTGTAGTAGAAGAAAAATGATTTATGTGAGGTTAAGGGAAGTTGCACAATATGTATCTTTTTAGTCATAGCAATATTTTGTCTTAAAAAAAGATAGGCAAAGTAGTCAGTCCTTAAATCAACGAAAACCCATACACAAATGGTTATAATACATACATGCAGAAAGAATCTAACATCTTCAAAGCAAACAAAGGTTTATTTGATATGTCTCGCTTCATCTCTGACTGAAAAATAGAAGATTTCATCTACCCTCTCCAATGATGTCACTGAGCATTGGTGTGTCCTGACCTGATGGTGAATAATTTGTAGTCGCGGCTGTACTTGTACCCACTGATGAATTTTGCATTTGCGAAGAATGATCGCTCATGAAGGTTGTTGTATCTTTAAATTTCCAGTCGGTCAGGTATCCAGGTCTGGAAGTCGCAGCGGCAACCTCAGCATCTCCTGTAAGCATTGCTATTGCACGGGACATTGAGGGTCGTAATCCTGGGGATGTTTGAGTGCATAGTAGAGCTATCCCAATTACTTTTTTCACTTCTTCTACATCAAATTCAGATAAATTTGCATCCACTAGCTCAGTTTCGCGCTTCTTCTCATGAAGTTGCCAAGCCTAGAAGAGCAGTACACACACGAGTCAGTGAATATGGTTAGAACTAAACGATAAATGTAGGAACCACAGTACAGCATGATAAGTCAAAGTCTTTAAAGGTAGATAATAGAGATAAAAAGTAGAAAAGCATGAATGCAAAGGAAGATATTCTTCCATTTCGTTAATCCAAGTGGTATGTATATCAATCCTGATAAGCTAGAAGTTGCATAACCACTTGGAGCAGCAATGAAAGTACATTGTTCTAATGCTTTACTAAAAGCAAAGAAGGAAAGGACTTTACCCACTCAAGAAGGTAGATCTTGTCTTCTTCCAAGCTCTCATCAGAATTTGTTCTACCACTGACAATTTCTAGAGCTACAACTCCGAAGCCAAACACATCAGCCTTCTCTGTCAGATGTCCGCGCATGGCATATTCTGGTGCAAGATACCCTCTACAAGAAAATGATAACGGGCATGAAACAAAACTATAGAAAAGGAGTCTAAGAATATGAGACATCTTCCATTTTCAGGATCTTACATTGTGCCTGCAACACGAGTGTTTATATGTGTCTGTTTGTCATCATAAAGTTTTGCCAATCCAAAGTCTGAAATTTTTGGGTTTAGATCTGCATCAAGCAGGATATTACTGGCCTTGACATCTCGATGGACAATACGGACTCGAGATTCCTCATGAAGATACGCTAGACCCTTTGCTACTCCCAAGCATATCTGGAAGCGTGTTGGCCAATCAAGATATAAAGATCCTTTCTCTGCACAATTGAAGCCATAAGCTCAATAATCATTCTATAAAAATCAGTAAATGTAATTTTTTTTCTTCTCTTATATGATGAAAGGCAGAAGTTCCAAGATATTGTATTCATTAGTACCAAATAATGCTTGATCAAGACTCTTGTTTTCAAGGTACTCATAAACAAGTAATCGTCTGTCTCCCTCGATGCAGCAACCATAGAGTTTCACAAGATTACGGTGTTGTACAGCTGATATAGTAGCAATCTCTGCCACAAACTGACTCTTTCCTTGATGTGATGCCACAGACAGTTGTTTAACAGCAACTACTCTCTCATCCTCTAGTGTTCCCTATGGACCACAAAAAATTGGTTCAAGGTTCAGACGATTTCATAAAATCATTTCCTGTTTTCCATAATTCATAGCAAAACAAAAGCAAACAAGGAAGCACAAGTATTTAGTCATGAAACATAATTTCCTGATGTTTGAGAAACATGTGAGGTATAGTTGCAACGAAAATTGCAATATAGGGAACGCTAGTTACTTCAGGACTTCATGTGGAAGAAGATATTACCTTGTAAACTGGTCCAAAACCTCCCTCTCCAAGCTTATTAGAAGAAGAGAAGTCACCAGTAGCAGCTCGAAGTTCTGAATAGCTGAAAGTGTAGGGTCTGGTATCTATCCCCATGAACTCTGCAAATTTGAAGAGAAAATGTCCTTAATAAGCCGAAGGAATCAATTTCTGGGACTTATACACACTAGAACATACATTATACATTATTTCATAAGGTGCATAAACTGAAGGAATGCAAATGCTGACTCCTTGCATTAACTCTTGCTCAACTAAACCAAATTGTCAATATCAAGAACAAAAAAAAAGAACCTTGAAATGGAAGTGTTGCTAACCGACTTTCCAAGTAGCAGTTAAACTCAAAGATAGATGAATCACTTGAAAGTCGAAGACGGAAAAACCATACAAGAGCAGATTGCATTTCCTACCTTCATCCTCCAAAGCCTTCTGCTGTTTTCTTTTCTGAATTAGGTAATAGACAGCAAATAATGAAATCAAGCTTATGACTCCAACTCCTACAACAATGCCCACAATCAGACCGGTCCGGTTCTCTTTTGTAGTAGGAGGCTGGTTGCTAACAGAGGGTTCAAAATCTGTAGAAAAGCTTAGCAGTGTGAGTACAGTTCTGAATGCCTCATTTAAGAATCTAATTGGTGTCTGTAATTCATGGATACCTGGGGTTGCACTGATTGCTGATATGGAAGGTCCATATGTGCTTTGTATAGGTACACAGCAGGTCCCTTTTCCAGCCCAGAAGAGATGTATTTCAAGATGATTATCAGAGACCTGAGCTGTAAATTGCCTTTGAACAGCTGCGAGGGATCTTCCCCCAGCCTCCCTCTTAATGTCAAAATCTTTCAACTGCCGAATTCCCTGGAAAAAGATAACCATAAAATTATTAAAGTGATGCTCTTTTCGGACCCAAATCATTCCAATATTTCTTTGTTTATGAATAATATATGTTTCTCTATTTTTAAAAATAATGCGTACCTGTACATAGATGTCAAATACACGTCTTCCAACACTACGCCAAGTTGGGGGATTTAAGAT